CCCCTTTTGGTGTTGTGCCAGAATTGTGGAATATGGCTAATGTGGTTCCTAAATTCAAATCAGGGGATAAGTCTGTTCCTTCAAATTACCGTCCAATAAGCCTGCCTGACAAATTTGCTGACGTTCTTCAATAGAACATTTGAGGTAGAAGACTGATAAAGAATATGAGATTGTTTATTTGGATTTTAGTAAAGCCTCTGATAGAGTACCTCACAAGAGAGACTTAAGAAAAGTGGCAGCTCATGGCATAGGAGGTAAAATTCTAGCATGGATAGAGGCATGGCTTACCAATAGAAAGCAGAGAGTTTCCATTAATGGGATCAAATCTGAATGGGGATTAGTCACTAGTGGCATTCCACATGGATCAGTTTTAGGCTCTCTCTTGTTCATAATTTACATTAATGACCTTGATGAAGGGATTATGAGTGACATGAGCAAATTTGCTGATGATACAAAGATAGGCCGTATTATTCATTCTGAGGAGAACAGCAATGAACTCCAGGAGGATTTGGACAAAATGTCTTGATCTGAAAAATGGCAGATGAAGTTCAATGTGGATAAGTGTAAGGTACTAGTCCTTGGTAATGAAAATAACCCTTGAAGCTATAAACTAGGTGAAGTAGAGCTTGATTATACAGAATGTGAAAAAGATTTGGGAGTCATGGTAAGCAGAAATCTAAGGCCACGACAGCAGTGCCTAAGTGTGCACAACAAGGCTTACAGATTACTTGGATTTATCTCAAGAAGTTTAAGTAACAGAAGTCCAAAAGTTATTTTACAGCTCTATACATCACTAGTGAGGCCTCATTTAGATTATGCTGATCAGTTTTGGTCTCCTTACTAAAGGATGGATATACTCATTGTAGAACATACAGAGAAGAATGACTAAAATGATATACTGTGTAATGAATCTCCTGTATGAAGATCGACTTAAAGTCTTAAATCTCCACTCTCTGGAGACATAGAATGAGGAGAGATATCAATGAAGTGTGTAAGTGGATGACAGGCATAAACAGAGAAGATATTAATAAAGTACTGATGGTGTCGAACCAGGTAAGAACCAGAAATAATGGATTTAAGTTGGATAAATTTAGATTTAGAAAGGACATAGGTAAGTACTGGTTTTCCAACAGAGCTGTGAATGCGTGGAACATTCTACCCAGTAGGGTGATTGAGGCTAGGACTTTGGGCAGCTTTAAAAAGAGATTGGACAAATATACGAGTGGGAGGGGCTGGGTTTGATTTGAGTAAATTCTTGGGTAGCTTTGGGTAGAGGTCATTTTGATAAGGACCTGCATTGTATGGGCCAGTAGGCCTTCTGCAGTGTTCTCCATTCTTATGTTCTTATGAGATGGCTTCTTATAATTATTAGCCATCTTCCACATATCAGACACTACACCTATTTGAAGAGATAAATTAAAAATATTAGTTAAAGGTTCACAGAGTTCCATTTTTGCATTCCTTAAGAACCCTTGAAAAAAGCTCATCAGGACCGGGTGATTTATTTTGCTTCAAATGGTCTATCTGTTTGATAACCATTTCACTAGTGACTGATATTACATAATTTATCTTCTTCAGGCCCACTAAAAAACCTAATTATTGGGATATTATTAGTGTCTTCCTGAGTGAAAACCAAGAGAAAATAATTATTAAAAATAGAGCACATTTCATTCCCTTTGTCAGTAAGAACTCATAGTTATTTTTAAGGGGACCTATCTTATCTCTAACTTTTGTTCTATACACCTGGAAAAAACTTTTAGGGTTAGATTTCGAATCTCTAGCAACTTTTTATGTAACAATTAATATTTTCTCGTACATATAATTCAACTCCTCCCTCCTTCCCATGACATCTATCCACATGGAACAAGTTAAACCCTTGAATATTACACTTAGCAATCATATCCAGGTAAGACACATAGGCAACAGTTAGGCAACTTTATTCCGAAACGTTTCGCCTACACAGTAGGCTTCTTCAGTCGAATACAGAAAGTAGGCAGGAACAGTAGAGATGTGAAGACGATGTAATCAGTCCATCACCCTTGAAGTTGTAGAATTTGAGGTTGTCAGTCCCTCAGCCTGGAGAAGTTCAGTTCCATAGTTCCTGACTATGGAACTGAACTTCTCCAGGCCGAGGGACTGACAACCTCAAATTCTACGACTTCAAGGGTGATGGACTGATTACATCGTCTTCACATCTCTACTGTTCCTGCCTACTTTCTGTATTCGACTGAAGAAGCCTACTGTGTAGGCGAAACGTTTCGGAATAAAGTTGCCTAACTGTTGCCTATGTGTCTTACCTACCAACCTGTCGGTATTGTATACCATTTTGATGTTCAATCATATCCAGACTAAGTCATACCATGTTTCAGTTATTGCAATGACATCAAAGTTCCCAGCACATGCTACCAAACGTAGTTCATTAACCTTATTTCTTGCACTTCGACTGTTAGCATAAAATACCATATGTTTTTTCTTCTGCACATTTTTCCTATTCACCTTTGCTTTTACACAATTTCTGAAATTATCAATACCCAGCGTTACTCCATGACTTATTATTAAGATTCATAATATCAAAGCCTGAGTCAATATATCCATACTCATTAGTTTTCATTTCTAAACCCATACCTCTAACTAATCCTAGTTTAAAGTCCTAACAACCCCCTCAACTGAGCTAGCAAGGAAACCCACACCCAATTCTATTTACTCATGTGCAAGTCCCACTCACATCCAACCCCTCTCACCCATGTACTTATCCAATGCAAATTTGAAACTACCCAAGGTTTTAGCCTCAATAACCATACTAGGCAGACTGTTCCACTCATCAACATAAGAAAGGAGGAACATTGCAGCAGGCATGTTGGCCCATACGTGGCAGGTCCTTCACAAATCCAACCCACTAACGGAATAAATGCTACCCAAGCAACAAGCTTTAATAATTCTATTTACTCATGTGCAAGTCCCACTCAAATCCAACCCCTCTCACTTGCGTATTTATCCAACCTAAATTTGAAACTACCCAAGGTTGTAGCTTCGATAGGACCTTGGGTAGCCTTAAAAAGAGATTGGACAAATATACGAGTAGGAGGGGCTGGGTATGATTGGCGTCGTGGGTACATAATAATCTAAGAAAGGAGAAACACTGCAGTAGGCCTGTTGGCTCATACTAGGCATGTCCTTCACAAATCAAACCCACTAACAAAATAAATGTACCCAAGCAATAAGCTTTGACAATAGTATTTACTCATCTTGACTGTGTGCTAATGGAGTTACAGGAAGCTGACATTGAAGAAATGCTGAACACTGACAATTATGCACCTGTTGTGCATTCCTTGAGTGATGGTGAAATTAGACGAATTGTGATAGATAAATAAACCGTAGAGTTGATATTAGCGTCATATTGAAGTATTTTGTCGTGCCTCCTGAGAGCAGGAATTCCGCTGGAACGGATTAATGCCATTTCAATAAATTTAAATGAGGAAAACTGACTCAGCATACGAACAAATTGGGATACGAACAAGGTCACGGAGGTAAGCTGAGGTTCCACTGTACTGGTATCAGAGACTAATCAAACAAGTAAATTTTTCTATGGAGAGTTGTGGAACCTGAACACAAAAATAATTTAAAGCCACTTGGTATAACTTGGGAAAAGGAGAAAGAAAAAATACAACTACATAACAAATGCATTACAATACTTAAAGGACTCATGACTAGCTATGAAATCCAATAATATATGACCAAAATATTACAGATGCAATTAAGGAAATACAGTGGACCCCCAGTTTACGATATTATTTCATTCCAGAAGTATGTTCAGGTGCAAGTACTGACTGAATTTGTTCCCATTAGGAATATTGTGAATTAGATTAGTCCATCTCAGACCCCAAACATACACATACAAGCGCACTTACATAATTGGTCGCATTGGGAGCTGATCGTAAACCGGGGGTCCACTGTATATGCATCTTGTTACACATCTTCATCACAGAGAACCCACAACTTACCTAGCACATGCTGGATGACGTAATTACCATACTGATCTTGTAACAGCTGTTCCGTGTGTTGATGTAGTTCCTCTAGTACTGGAGATGTCTGGTCACCAGTGCAGTGCTCCAAAATGCGCTGTATTACACGGCAGCCATAAGGATGTGTTGACAGGGTAAAAACTTGCCCCTGTTACAGAAAAACAAATTATCCTATATATTTGATGTCAGGATTTATAAAATTACAGATTTTATAATTCCTGGTGTAAACAATGCTCTTTCAGTTCATATGTAAATTTAAAATAAGAGAAGCTTGGCCTGTTAACCCGTAAACGGTCCAAACATATACGTACTATATACGTTTTTACCGCTAGTGCCCCAAACGTATATATACGTTTTATGTGTCCTACATTTAACATTGCCACGATAAGCCTGAGTCGCCTAGACATGTGAGAATGGGTGTGAGCACTCACTGTGCACCATATTAAAATAATTGGGGATGCCTGAGTACCATATGCTCTTTTTTCCTATTAAAAACAACAATTTTTTTTTCCTCAAAAAAGTTGGGGCAGTACAGTAGTGAACGTATATATACGTTTGGACCGTTTACGGGTTAAACTGATCAGGCCATCAACCAAAACAACCCATGGTATCTTCAAATAATCTTCAGGTAATCAAACAAAAAAAAATGCAGTACTGTTTTATTGTGGAAAAAGACACTTATGTACAGTCACATTGTGACTGTACATAAGTGTGCAGAATGGGCTGTTTGTTTATACTCATTTTTTGAGGAAAAAAAAAAAAAAAAAAAAAAAAGGAATAATTTTGACACCAAACATTTATGTATAGTCCTGAACTGTATATAAGTGTCTTTTTCCACATCTTGTCAGTATCACCATACCATTGCCTCACTGTTTTATTGAAAATGATGTTAATACTGTATCCTACAACAAATGTTATTCAGATAACTTTAAAAAAAAAAAAAAAAAAATCTGTACTATATACAGTATATATTGTATATAATGTAATTATAACCCTCTCAATGGGTAATAGTTGGTGAAATTTAATGATTTTCAAAATTATTCCTGATTTTTTTTTTCCTAAAATGAGTATAAATAAACAGCCCATCCTCTTAATAACAGTCACAAGGTGACTGTTTATGAACCTTAAACAGTGATTCCTGACTATCAAAATTTTTTAGTACCTCTATGTAATATTTCATTTACTGGCATTGTGGCATATTATGCTTCATTAATTTTTATTAATATACAACAACCTAACCTAAATAACAAACTGAGAAATTTGCTGAAAGCTGAACGAGGAACCTAAAAAAATTTGTAATTACAAGCTGAAATAATAATGGGGAGAAGATGCATACACAGATAAAATGCACAATATTGTATATGATACATGGAAAGTCTTTAACCCATGTGGGTCCAACAGCATCTCATGAAGGGAAGGTAAGCAAGTTAAATCTAAAGAAAGTAGCAGAATTCCTTGGATCAATAACCCTTAACTGGCATTAAGGCATCCCCTCCTTTCCTTCAAGGGGACACAACACAAAGTTGCAGTTTCAACAGGCTATTTTAAAAACTCAACCACCCTCCTTTCCTAGAATAAAAGATGAACAGTAAAAAAGAGTGACAGGTATGGCAAAATACAGTATTATGTTATGAAGAATATTTGTAAATGTTAAGCAAATTGCTCTAGTGTTGCAGTGTGTTCACGCATAGTGAAGTTTGAAGTCAAAGTCTCTCTGAGAATCCAAATCCCTTGTGAGACTTCAGAAACTGGGTATAAAATATTTACAGATCTCTTGGGAGAAAAAATAGGCTCTATAAATGCTTGACTTTACTGTAAGTCTCAACTTCATATTAAAGTTATCTAAACCCTGAAAGTACATGCAATTACTACTGCATTTGGAGTCACCAATATATGACAAGCATTTGTGTATGTGTTATTCAGTCTTTAGTTAATTTATCAAATCCCCCCCCCCCCCCCAAAAAAAAAAAAATAATGCTGTCTAGTCAGATGCATGCTGACATCACAGTTCAGATGGCCCTCTGCAATATCCTTACCACTCACTCAGAATGCAGACACTGTACTTCCCACAGCCAAGACTCCAATGCAGATAAATTATTTCCTTGAATTCCTTCATATATGTTACCTTTCTCACACTCTAACTGCGTGTTAAGTCATAAAAACCACTTGCCTCCACTCATTCCAATCTAACACATTCACACAACTGTTGGATGTACAAATCCCAAGCACTCGAAACCACCTTTACCCACTCCCTCCAGCCCTTTCTGGGATGACCCCTGCCCTCCTCTCCTCCGCCCCAGATTTATACACTCTCCTAGTCGTATTTTGCTCCATCCTCTCTAAGTTCTCAAAACCACTTCAGCAAACCCTCCTCAGTCCTCCTAACTATAATCTTGATAGCCTCACATCTTTGTTTTTTTATGCAATAAGTTTGCAAATTTGTACAGTATCGCAATGAATATTTCCAAGGCATTTGGTCATTCTTTAATCCCCTTTTTAAATCCTGGGATCCATTTTCCTGCACATCTCTTAACTGTTACCTACACTAAAGATTGTTTTCTCATTATATTCTAAACCTATGGGCACCATTCAGCACTACAAGGAAGGTTTAGGAGACAGCACAAGGAAAGAGGTGTTAGTGTCAAGTAAAGGATAAGGATGAAAGGAGAGGGTGGGTCTAAATATTATTTATGAAAACTCGCCAAAAACAATTAAAATGCTTCCATTGGTTGATAGGAAGAAAACATAAAACAGATATAAGGTAACCACACATTGTTCAAGTTTATATAAGGCTATGGAAGAATATACAGGGAGTGTAATAATGTAACAGGTTACAAGAGGAGAAAGTGTTTTAAAAAGTCATAGTGTGTGAAGATGGGACACCAAGCATAGCTCTGCTCCTGCAACTACAAATAGCTAAAAAGAAAAGAAAATCACTAGTAATCATGCCAAATAATTATCCTTGCAGTAGACAAGAGTCAAACTTATCCCATAACATCATAGCCTTGCTAGGAAAGTAAAGCGGCACAAGGATCTACTCAACCATGAAATAAAATACTTGCTGTGGCCTTGAATTGAACCTGCACAGTATCCATTAGCCCTTGCCATGAAACTAACGAGAGGTGCCTGGATCCACTCATTTATGGCCTTATAAAGAGGTGATGGTTTAAGCAGGACATGCTACTTCACCCTTAACCCTTTCAGGGTTGGTGCTGTAGTACGGCTTGTGTGCCAGGGTTGGTGCCGTACTAGTACGCATAAATTCTAGTGGCTTCAAATTGAGCGGGAAACAGCTGGTAGGCCTAGATGTGAGAGAATGAGTTTGCGTGGTCGGTGTGAGCGGTAAAAAAAAATTCGACCCCCAGCCTTCCACCTCTTGTGCTGGGCCACCTTGTTCACGTTCAGTTGTACCAGAACCAATGAGGAAACTCCTATTTTCCCATATCCCGGACTCAGTGTGAGCATTGGTGATGATAGTGATAGTGAATATGAACTAGAAGCTCTTGAAAACAGTTCCAGTAGTGATAGTATATACGACGGTACATGCGCTCTGGTAGTGTGCTATATGCTATTCCAAGGAGGAGGAGTACATCTCAGAGTACATCCCGTGGCTGTACAACAGGAACAGATAGTGAAAATGAAGATGATAGTGTTGCAATTGGGATGGAAAATGTGCATGGTGGTGATAGTGGTGGTGCCGGCCGTGAGGCACCAGCAGTGGGCCATGCTGCCACCCACGCCGCTGCCTCAGCTGATCTATAACAAAGGCCACCATCCTCCACCCACCCACCACACCAGCCTCCACAACCACAACCTCTACAACCACAATCACCTGTCAATATCCAGTACCCACCAGCAGACCTCACCTGGGATTGGCAGGAAGTTGCCAATTTTGTTCCAAATCCCCATCAGTTTGATGAAAGCCAAAGTGGAATATGGCCATCTTGTACACTTGGGAACAATGCCAGTTAACTGGAATGTTTCAAGTTATTCTTTGAAGAACCCCTGATGGAAATTATTGTCAGGAAAAGCAACAGATACTACAAGTACACCATAGCAAACACAATACTTTCACCAAACTCACGCCTACACCAGTGGAAGGAGACAACTGTGGCTGAGATGTATCTTTTATTTGCCACAATAATGCTTATGCCACATGTGTATAAGCACAGCGTGAAATCATACTGGTCGACAGACCGCTTGATTGCAACCCCAGGTTTCAGCGATATAATAGGAGTGAATCGATTTGTGCTACTATTACGTATGCTTCACTTTTCAGACAAAACCATGCCTGACAGAAATGACAGGTTATATAAGATTAGGAATGTGTTTGTGTGTCTGAAACAGAAATTCAGTATGTATTTTTATCCCTTCAGGAAGCTTGTTATTGATGAGTCTTTGATTCTGTTCAAAGGAAGACTCTCATTCAAGCAGTACATACAAAGCAAGAGGAAATGCTTTGGTATAAAGTTGTTTGTTCTTTGTGATTGTTACAGTGGTCTTGTATTAGATATAATTGTGTACACTGGAAGTAATACATTGCAAGATACCAGGAAGTTACTGAGTATCTCTGGTGATGTGGTTAGAACGATGATGGAACAATATCTTGGTAAGGGACATATATTATATACTGATAACTGGTACACAAGCCCCTTACTCAGCGATTTCTTGCAAGTGAACATGACAGATGTGTGTGGCACAGTGTGTGCAAATCGTAAACATATGCCCAGGTTCGACGCTGGCACTCGTAGAGGGGAGGTGCAGGCGTTTGCTGCCAATGACAGCATGGCATTTCGGTGGCATTACAAATGAGATGTCACACTGCTGTCATCAGTTCACCCTAATGAAATGGCAGACATTGGCAGGCAGCATAAGAGAAAGCAATGAACCCATTCTAAAACCTGCAGCTGTGATTGACTACACCCTCAATATGCATTCAGTGGATAAATGTGACATGCAGATTGGGTTTGCTGATTGTGTTTGCAAGAGTTGTAAGTAGTACATAAAACTCTTTTTCCATATTCTGGACATTTCCGTGCTTAGTGCTTATAATACGTATATACAAGATGAGGACCAGAAACAAACCACCATGTGGCGAATTTTGTTTGTCTGTCATCAGACAAATAATAATCAAGTACCAAGGAACAGCACCTGCAACAGAAAACCATCCAGTGCGAAGAGCACCTATGGTGCTCTTCGCACCTACTCCAAGGTTGAGGGAATGATTACCTCATCTTCTGTATATAGTTCTACTGTCTTCAAGTTATGTCCTAGAATTTGTATTCAACAACTACTTTCTCATCTGAAGCATGGTGATCACTTCCTAACAGAACTGCCTGCTACTGCTTTCAAGAAAAAGGCTCAGAAGAGGTGTTACGTCTGTGCATATACAAAAAAAAAAAGCCCACAACAATGCAGACACACTTGTGAGTGTAAAACACCACTGTGCATGACACCATGTTTCAAAGACTTCCACAGGCTGCAGAACTTCTAAAAACATGTCCTGTGACTGTATATGTGTATATAAAATATAGAAAAATAGTAATAAACAACATTTTGTATTATTCGTTTGTGTAAATAAGTTTTGTAAACAAAATAGTGACAACAGTTATTGTGTAGTATAGAAAAAGAAATAACTTACAAAATAGTGCTCATATTGGTCTCATAGGCCATAAAAGTTACTTGAAAAAAATGTTAGAAAATAATAGAAAATAGTACTGAAAAAAGAAAAAGTAATACCGGGTGACCAGCAGTCGGCGATGTTACCATATGCCAGTCATTTTCTGTCAGCTTCATGCCTCCATATCTCAGTAAGTATTGATGGTAAAAAATTTTTGTTTAGCCTATAAAATTTAAAGAGAGAGAGAGAAAAAAAAAAACTTTCCATAAGAATTTTTTTTTTTTCGAATTTTTACCGACCCTAAGAACAGGTTTGGGAGAGGGCCTGCCGACCCTGAAAGGGTTAAGAGACACTTGGGCTGGGGAACACATGTAAATCATTCATCATCTACCTGACACACAGCAATGAAAAGTTTAACTCTGCTCAAGGATACTAATAACACTTATTTCATCTTATAAACAAATATCTTCATTGGGTCCAGGAAGTGAACCTATGCCATAACTCTTTTGTCATGCTGGGAAACAAAGGAGTTTGGATTCACTCAGTCGTGGCTTCATAAAGAAGTTATGGTTTGACAAAACTGGACATCAGGGACAATAATCCTGAAAATATAATCTCTAATTCCCATCCATGCTGCTGTGTGCACGTGCTAGTGAGTTTCTGGTTCTCTGGAGACGTAGTATCATATGGTGGACCGTCAACCCATTCTTAGTTTCCAGGTAAGACTAAGGAATTATGGCACAAGTTGGATTATAGTACAGGAATGGTATACAATACTGACAAGATGAAAACTGAGACATGTGCAACATCTGGGTATCTTTATTGTAAACGTTTTGCCTACCAGGGCTTTATCAATACAAATTCTAGGATATAATTTGAAGACAGTAGAACTATATACAAAAGATGAGGTAATCAGTCCCTCAGGCTTGGAGCTGGTGTGTAGAGCACCGTAGTTGTGAATCTTCACGACTATGGCGCTCTAGACACCAGCTCCAAGGCTGAGGGACTGATTACCTCATCTTTTGTATATACGTAGTTCTACTGTCTTCAAATTATATCCTAGAATTTGTATTGATAAAGCACTGGATGGCAAAACGTCTACAATAAAAATATCCAGATGTTGCACATGTGTCTCAGTTTTCACAAGTTGGATTCCCAGCCTCAGAAACAATACCTCTGCATGAAATATAGTGCATTTTTTCACATCCATTAACAAGGATTTTCCTTATGAAAATGTATACTTTTCTATGGTGTCATGTAGGATGTGGTTAGCATATCTGGCCCACTAATCCCCCCCCCCCAAAAAGCAAACCTCAAATTCATTCTTTCAAAAAATATTGTAATAGTATAACTTACTGAACAATGAACATCAACTGCTGTGATCCTTACATTCACCTATAAAACAATTCTAAACTTAACCCTTTGACTGTTTCGGTCGTATATATACGTCTTACGAGCCACTGTTCCGGACGTATTTAAATGAGTAAATTCTAGCGGCTTCAAATCAAGCAGAAGAAAGCTGGTAGGCCCACATGTGAGAGAATGGGTCTATGTGGTCAGTGTGCACCACATAAAAACAATCCTGCAGCACGTAGTGCATAATGAGAAAAAAAACGGACCGTTTTTTTGGATTAAAGCGCCGACTTTGAGGTGTATTTTCGTATAGTATTTATGATTGCATTCTCATTTTCATGGTCTCACATGATATTACAGAAATAGAGATGATTTTGATTACTTTCATGATGAAAACGACCTTGAAATTGAGCTCAAAGTAGCGGAAATGTTCATTTTTTATCAATGTTCAAGAGTTACCAAATCACACCACATGTCCAATACACGTCAACTGGGGAGTCTAATATTCTTTCACTAGTGCACCGATATTATTTATACTATTTTTACAATAATGCAGTAGTCTGCATAACAGTAAATTTTCTATTTTTTGTATGAATAAAAAATCAAAATAGAAAGCAATAGTAATATAAGAGGGGCCTAGAGACGTGAATAATGAACAGAGGATGTTATTTTAGTGCCAAGAATGCCTATATTGTTTATTCTGGACCCTATTTTGAAATTGGCATCTTTTTCATTTTGCGTGAAATTGGCCAAATTGCCAATTTCTGACCACTTTATTGGGTAGTTCAAATCGGTAAATGGGTGGTTTCTTGTACTCGACTGATAGAAAAAAAAGGGGAGTTCTAAAGAAATAGCTATGAATTTGGTCAACTGGAACAACGGAACTAATCAAAAGCAGGGCTCAAAGTCGGCGAAATCACCAATGCGTATATGTCGCCGAGACTGCTAACTTCACAGGAGTGTAATTCTGTGAGTTTTCGACCAAATTTCGTATTTTTGGTGTCATTACCACCAGGAAAAGATTCTCTATCATTTCATAAGAAAAAAAAAATTCTTTATTTTCCAAAAATTTTGCGACATAGAATGAGTTTCAGAAAGGGGCTTGCGACAGTCAAAGGGTTAGGGCAGACATTAAGATATAAATGTTGCAAATTCATGCAAAAACAATTTGATTATAAAGGTTGGCTATTTGATAATTCGAACCAATGTCATTATTGTATATTTTTTCAAGAAATACAATATAATAATTACTCACCTGGAAGGCATTGATGATGAATTGTAAGGCCATTGGGTCCACACATTCTATACACTTCTGCACAACATGGTTGCCTGTTTTAAACAATGTGATGCACATTAAGAACTATTTTATATCTATATGTTGTATAAATGTAAATTTTCATACAATCTGAGTGAAAACTTTGCTAGCAAAGCCAGAAAACAAACATCCTGCACTACCTATACATATTATGAGCTCTATATACAGTATTAATATAGGTATTTTAATAAAGGAATAGTAAATACTCAACTACTACATACTGTATAAGCTATACAAAATTATTTATTAGTAAGATTCTAATTTTTAACAAAATTCCAGTATAATATTTGATAATTTGTGAAAACCTGCTTAAAAATTTTGCATTCTTCTTTGATGCTTCAAAATGCAAGAGTAAAGATTAATATGCAAGTAGCAAAAACAGCACATGTTAGATATACATTACAGTATATGAATGTGGCAATTATTTAACCCTTTCACTATGGGGACCCCCAAAATTAAGTGCTGACACAGTCGGGATATAAAAAAAAAAAATTCTGAAATGGTAGAGAATGATGCCAAAATACAAAATTTGATAGAAAACTCATGAAATTATTCAGGCACAGAGTTGGTACTTTAGGCATCCTATTTAACCCTTCGACTGTTTCGGCCACATAGTATATACGTCTTACGAGCCAGTGTTTCGGACGTGTATATACTCAATAATTCTAGCGGCTTCATATCAAGCAGGAGAAAGCTGGTAGGCCCACATGTGAGAGAATGGGTATGTGTGGTCAGTGTGCACCACATAAAAAAAATCCTGCAGTATGCAGTGCATAATGAGAGAAAAAAAAAAAACTCCGACAGTGTTTTTGGATTAAAATGCAGACTTTGAAGTGTATTTTCGTATAGTATTTATGGTTGTATTCTCGTTTTTTTGGTCTCATTTGATAGAATGGAAAACATATTACAGAAATAGAGATGATTTTGATTAGTTTCACGATGAAAACGACCTTTAAATTGAGCTCAAAGTAGCGGAAATGTTCGATTTTTACTAATGTTCAAGAGTTACCAAATCACACCACATGTCCAATACACGTCAACTGAGGAGTCTAATGTTCTTTCACTAGTGCACTGATATTATTTATACCCTTTTTACAATAATGCAGTAGTCTGCATAACAGTAAATCTTCTATTTTTTGTGAATAAAAAATCAAAATAGAAAGCAAGAGTCTTGTTTGTTCTGGGATATTCTGAAATTGGCATTTTTGAAATTTGTGTGAAATTGACCAAATTGCCAATTTCCGACCACTTTATTGGGTAGTTGAAATTGGTAAATGGGCAGTTTCTCTTGTACTTAGTCAATAGAACAAAGGGAGTGCTAACAAAATACCTATGATTTTAGTCGACTGGAACATTGGAATTGGCCGAAAATAGGGCTCAAAGTGGGTGAAATTACTGATGAGTAAATATCATTGAGACTGCTAACTTCGTGAGAATGTAATTCCATAAGTTTTCCATCAAATTTCATACTTTTGGTGTCATTACCACCGGGAAAAGATTTTCCATCATTTCATACAATTTTTTTTTTTTTTTTTTTTAAATTTTCGACCCTGAGTGGGAGTTAAGGATCGAGGGTCTCGATCCTCAAAGGGTTAAATGTGCCACTCATGAGGAATGCTCATGATGTTTGTGGCATTATTTAGAAAGAACAGGAATATGCTCTTTAAGAAAACAATAGTAGTATTAGATAGATTTAGTGGTGGTACATGGGTGATGGAAACTGCCCATGAGGTGCGTGTGTAAATAAATCAACCATTTGTACAACTAAAAATTATGAGATAAAAAATAAAAGCAGTACATTTTTTCACATGCTCTGAAGAATGTTAAACGTCATTAACGCTAAAGACGGAAAAAATTACCAAATTTTTGGGTCCAAGAAAAACGAAGAAACGGTCTTTGTTTACTGCTCAGATAATAAAGCACAAAGTCCTTTTATGTTCTAAGAGAGAGAGAAAGAAAGCGAGCCTTCACAACAGCATACATTTAGTGCAAGATGGTTTTACAGTTTTAAAAAGTGCACATGTCTGAAATATTTCTGATTAGCTCTATAAAGCAGATTAAAACATACCAGAGATGAATTACAGAGTACTGTACCTGAGTACTTCAATACACCCATTAACTACTGTTAACTCTGCATCTACTTCAGAACAAGAACCACAGCTATCCATTGCACCCCAGTAGCCTCATATTAACTCAGTTTCATTCATTTGGGTATTTTACATTATGCACTGACTTTTCAGTTAATATAACCTACACATCATGAAAAGGTTTACTGCTAATGGACCTTTACATACTTTTGTTGTCTGTTATCAGGCAAATATTGCACAAATACCAGGTCAAAATACCAGTAGTACATGTGCAACACCTAACTGATTAAGTACTCTCTCGTCTGAAGTTTGGTGATTACTTCCTAACGACACTTCCTGCTATAGGCAATTAAAAATGGGCTCAGAAGAAAGGTTATGTCTGGGCACACATAACAAGGTGCCAAGCAAAGCACACACACACACTTGCTTCATGTACAAAGAGCGTAAAACACCACTGTATAAGAAACAATGATGCAAGGCCTTTCACAGACTACAACAGCCCTAGAAAAATGACCAGTGCCTCAATATACTGTATGTAAATAAATGATAGAACAGTAACAATGTAAAACATTTGTACCCATTTGTTTATGCTGCTGTGTAAACATGTCTTGTAAACAATGTATCATTGTAACAGGATGCCTCAACTACCTCTCTCAAAATATTTCATATGCTGAAAAATGGTGATTGGCAGGAGCTTGCCCGTACACCTTCCTGCACTTTATTAAACAAGCAGATAATATCTTGCTTGCCTTCCGTAGAAAGGTTTAGATTAGTTTGTACAATAAGCAATGTGTTATGGTAGTCAGGGTGTCATGGATGAGCCCTACATTGGATTTTTTTTATGCAGGTCCACTAAAACCTTCCCACTGAAACACTTACTTACTATACAGTATTATCAATCACCAAGATGTTCAACAATTGTAGAAACAGTACAGCTAGGGTAGCTATATCACTGTTAACAGGCGCAGTATGTAATTTGAAATTAGTTTGCAGTAATTATGACAATTTAAGATACAGGGGTGCTAAACTTTGGGGTTATTAATCTGAATAAAGTCTTCGTAAATACTAAATACTCTTCAAGATTGTTACATAAGTGTTCTATGTAAATATTCATAAGTTGTAGAAATTTTGGAAAACCAAAGTCACTTAAGAATAATGGAAGAACTGGCAGAGCACTGCTCATGACCTGGCAACCAGACAGAGGAAATCAACTGAAGAAATTATTCAAATTAGGCACACGACTCAATTTTTTCAATTAAAGAGTATGAAAGTAATTGTTTTGGTCCACTACTACTTTTCTGGCTGCACTTTTAAACAGAACAGACTTAATTTCACCCAGCCCAACTGCACTCAAAATGACAATCCATTGTATTCTAAATTTCAGAACCTATACCTGCAATGGTAATTTTTCTCTCTCCTTCTGCATGTACCTATTTGTAATGAATTTAATTATTTTAATTTGCATGGGGAAAAGGTGTGAGCTCTGGCTCTCAATCCAACCGCTTCAACTTTGGACTAATTAATTACAATTAATTTTACTTTAGAGTTGAATCATATTCAAACATCATATCCAACTCACCACCACTATAAATCCAACACACTAAATTTTAAGGCAACATCTGTATAAATTGTAATTAGGCAAATACCAGTGTACAGTACGTAATTGGTTTTGAGTATTTTTTTACTCCTGAGGCCAAATTCTAACTGACTGTGGGATCAATCAAGATTCTGTATTTTGCAATATTTAAGCCCATGCAAGTCATTACAGTTTGGCTGATCAGGCAACTTCTTCAGAAACTTGTCTAGCTTCAGTCCATTCTCACACCAGGAGTGATGCATGTCAACTAATACAAGGTCCATATTTTTCAATGGCCACCTCACTGCCAAACATATCACACCTTATTATTCCAATATGCTTATCTGTGGTTAAAACAAATCTTTATATAGGATTGTGTGGCCTAATCTAACCTAACTCTCTTTTTCAACAAATCAGCCATCTCCCACTGATGTAGGGTGACCCAAAGAAGAAGCACTGTCACCATCGTTAGCTCTTATCACTGTTTTGCTAGAGAGGTGCCAATATACTACAATTCAAATTGTAAATATCCCCACCCTTTCTTCAGGATTCAAGTTTAGCTAACCAGTTTCCCTGATTCTTTTCATAAATGATACCTTGCTCACAATCCAACAGAACATTAAGTCATAAAAACCACTTGCCTCTACTCCTGTCTAATATGCTCATATGCTCTCAGACATGACATCTCCAATCCCTCCAGCCTCCTCCTTGTTGCAACATTCACAACCCATGCTTCACACCCATACAAGTGTGTTGGTACCACTATGCACTCAAACATTCCCCATTTTTGCTTCTATGGATAACATTCGTTTTCACAGCCTCCTCAATGCACCACTCAACCTTTTTCCCCCCTCGTCAATTCTGTGGGTCACCTCATCTTTTACAGACTCATCTGCTAACAAGTCTAATCCGAAATATATGAAAACACTCACTCCCTACATACTCTCTCCCTGCAATGTGATGTCCAATCTTTCGTTTTTGTTATCCTCATTACCATGCACTTTCCAATGTTCACTTTTAATTTCCTTCTTTTACATACCCTCCCAAATTTATCCACTAACCTTTGCAACTTCTCTTCAGAATCTCCCAGAATTGCAGTCATCAGCAAAAAGCAAATGTGACAACTCCCACTTTGTGTTAGATTCTTTATCTTCTAATTCTGCACCTCTCCACAACACCCTTGCATTCACTTCTCTTACAACCCCATCAATAAATACATTGAACAGCCATGCTGACATCAAGCATCCCTGTCTACAGCCTACTTTTACTGAAAATGATCTTCCAATCTCTGACATACCCTTAACCTGAGCCTCCCTATCCTTGTAAAATCTCTAAACAGCTGTCAGTAACTTGCAGCCTATTCCATACACTCGTTA